ACTTAAGATCATTTGCTTCTTTAATAGCGGTGATCTTTGGTTGGCATTCCCTACTTAAACACCACAAAACTTTGTTAGTAGCAAGTTCATTGAAACGAGATTACCTAGTGCATTTAATCGATTTATAAGATGAGTGAACCGTTTTCGCATATCCGCAATGGTTTCACCATGCTCAATACGAAATAGCTTAAACTCTTGAATTAATATGTTTATCCTGGATAGTTTGACATCATTATTTCCCTCATAGGCAATCTCTAATGTGTCCCACATAGCTTTGGCGGTCTCATAATGTGAAATACGATAGAACTCATCGATTCCCAAAGCGGAAGTGAGAATGTTTTTCGCTTTCCAATCATGTGACCATAATTTCCTATCATTATTATCCCATCGTGCTTCTGATTTAGGTATTGTGACACCTTCCTCATTGGTCATAATTATTTCATTTAGATCATTTTGGATGGCATCCCAAATACCTTTGTCAACATAGTTGACATGTATACGAGTAAGAGCTTTCCAAGAGCCATAATTTTCGCCAGTGAAAATTGGTGCTCTATTGTATACATCTTTATGTTCGGTAGCCATTCTTCTAAGAAATGTATCTCAAACACGGAATGAACCGGGCTTTGATACCACTTGTTAGATGGCAGGCTTTAATCTATAGGGGGATGAATAGATCACAAATTTTACAACCAAAAGCTTTTGGCGAAAATCTGTTTTCAAAATATGGTGCAGCAGAAAAATGACCTGAATCAAATCGTCTAATCGAACTTACTATCGAAAAGAAATATACGTATCGCAAACCAAACAAAGTGATAATTAACGTAAATGTTCAACAACGATCAAGCTACGAATCAATTAAATGCAATGCTAATCGTAACTCGTATATCCAATGAACTAAAACACAATCAAAATACGCACAAATAATTTATCAAACACTTGGTGTGCAATCGATAGCGATTAGAAATATAATTTGTTTTGTTGATGTTAAAAGCCAATCATAATCAAAGTGATTGCAATTATATCAATAACAACACTTTTAAAAGATTGTAGAAAACAATTTCCAATCGAATTGATCAAACAACGATGAACTCGATAAATTGTAAAATCAATAATAAACTATATATATATATATATATATATATATATATATATATATATATATATATATATATATATATATATATATATATATATATATATATATATATATATATATATATATATATATATATATATATATATATATATATATATATATATATATATATATATATATATATATATATATATATATATATATATATATATATATATATATATATATATATATATATATATATATATATATATATATATATATATATATATATATATATATATATATATATATATATATATATATATATATATATATATATATATATATATATATATATATATATATATATATATATATATATATATATATATATATATATATATATATATATATATATATATATATATATATATATATATATATATATATATATATATATATATATATATATATATATATATATATATATATATATATATATATAGAGAGAGAGAGAGAGAGAGAGAGAGAGAGAGAGAGAGAGACCAAGAATTGTTTAGGCAATTCCCTAATCGGTCTTGCTATGGGTACGTCTGCCCTTAATTCAAGATCAAATTGAGATATTGCTATTAACCTTTTCTTTGCAAAATTGTTTATACAAGAGATGAAGAATGCAAATCCCAAAAACCCTATTGTTTTGTGTTGATTATTCCACCTCCAACCCTTGATCAAAAGCTTGATCAAGTGACCAATAAATATGGCTACAATCCTCCGATTATCCCGAGTGCACAACTTAATGAAACCCAAGATTCCCAAACACAATTCACTGTCTCGCGCTACTCCATTGCAAGGAAACCACCTTGTCCCAAGACTTTAACTCGGTCGAATCTGTTTTGACATGATCTTGTCCAAAACCTTCAAATCAACCTGATCTTAAAGGAAAACCTTTCCTTGGTTTTCTTATTTGAAACACATAAAGTTCCCAATCCAATATTCTCGGTTACATCAAACCTAATTGGACATTATCAACCCTAATCTAGATGGTCACCCAATCAAAAAATATTTATGTGTAGTTCAATTATGTGTATGCATAGAAGAAGGGATGACGAATGATATGAAACTTTCTAATCTGGTTTCGTTTAGGTTTTATTTACTAGAAAACCTTGCCTGGAGGAAGATGTATGTATGAGTATATATATAGATATGTGAAGAAAATGGGCAAAAGGATGCAAGAAAAATAAAATGCAAAAATAATTTTTTAAGTTTTAAGTTGCATAGGTTGGCCTATGAAGGTGTTCAGGCCGGCTTGTGAGGCGACCTGAGAGGCTACCTGTGGGTAGAGCCTACAGGCTTCGTTTTTGAAGCGTGGGGGCCGACTTGAAATATGGATGTGTCAGCCTTTACTGAAGCTGAGGCTTCCATAGGTCAGCCTGATCATGTATAGGTTAGTCTATGCAGTTATTCTGACACACAAACATGATTTTTGATGTGTATGCCTAAGACCTATCAAACTTGTTTAAAGACCCTTTTTATGAATCCTAAGGCTAAGGGGACAAATGAGCATTTAAATGTAGGTTGATACCGTCCAATATACAAAAGAGCTACAATATACTATACTACCTTGTTCTTTGTTTGACATCATTCAAAACCCGATTGAATTTGTAATTAGCAATACTTAGCACTCACAAAAACAATAATTATTTCTAATTATTCAATAATTCTAATCCTTCTACCCTCTACCAAGGCTCTCAGTACACTCCACCAATGCTCCACATGCACATACAAATACCAATTAATTAAATAAAATAAAAATAATTTTATTAAATAAATTAATTAAATTTTGAGGTGTTACATCTCTAATCTTTTTTTATTCAAAAAGTTATTTTTATTAATTTTTTTTAATTATACAATATAATTAATACTTATATTAGTTACAAAAACAAATTTTAAAGGTGAATGAGATAACTCAATTGATATGTGTTAGTTGAGTTATTGAGTTAATTAAATATGAATGATTGATCTAAAATTCAATATCTAACAAAAATATTTATTTATATTTATGTATTCTTGACAACAAGAGATTGATATTTATAAATGAACAACATTTAAAAAAAATTTAGATAAATAAATTCAAATATTAGATGTATTTGGTAACAAAATTTAGACTAAAAACATTTGACCATTTTAATTTCTTTTCTTATATTTTATTTCAAAAAAAGTTATATGTTATATTCTCAATTTAATATTTTTATTTATAATAATAATAAATACATCAATACCCAATAAAGTAATATAAAAAAATATATTTTATATTTTATATTTAGATTTTAATGGTATTGTATTGTAATAATATATAAAAATATTATACATATATTCAATTATAATATTTTAAAATAATAAATTATATAAATAATTTAAATTTTACAGATTGATTTGATGGAATATATAATTATCATTAGTTAATAATATAAAAATAATTTAGACGGACAGTGTACCATTATTTTTCTCTTATATTTATTCAATTTTAATAATCTCTATTAAAAGTCTCCTTATTGTCTAAAAAATTTCATTTACTATATTTTTATAACTTAAAATAATTATCATATATATGATATTAAGAAAATACTATTTATTTCTGTAGATATAAAACACTTTTGCATTTTTTATATATAATTTTTAAATTTTTAAAAGACATTAAATTATTATTTATCAATACATTTTTAAAATCTAGTCAAGAAATGAAAAAAAAAAAAAAAACTCATAAACGGATTGAAATTGTACCGTTTAATTTCTAGAATGTGTATTTTTATTTTTCAAATTTTTATTATCGAATTCATTTAAAAATAATTAATTTAATTAACCAGAATTTTTCTAAATTTTATCCATTTATCTTACAATTAAATCAACTATTTTAAAACAAAGAAAATATTAAAATTTGAACATTTTATCTTGATAAAATGATTAAAGAAAATCGAATGCGTGAATACATAAAAATTCAAAAAAAAATTCTATTTCAAATTTTAGGACTAAAAGAAGAAGTAACTACACTCCTATCCTAATCGTAATTAAGGGGAAAAAGGCACATCGAATTCAGTGCCAGAGGTATGAACGCGCAAAGAAACGGTCAAACCAACGTTAAACACACTCATACACCTGACCCATCCGACACTACACGTGTCCCCCGCTCCAATATATCTACACGTGTCACAATCACAACCATTCATTTTCCAAATCATGACAAAACATGATTCGCATGAAGACAAAATCATGAGTAACCCAAATCAAAGCACCAAACTCAACCAAAACCCAACCCATGGTTACGCGCACCACAGTTGAATTGAAGTATCACAGAGCCACTATATAACTGTGATAATCTCACATTATCAGAACCAAGAGTGAACGGGAGTTTCATTTCACAATTGAGAGTTGAGAGAAAAAAAGAGTGTTCTCATTTTTCAGTTTTCAAGATTTTACTGTTGTAGTCTTCTTTTTCACACCCGCTTTCCCCCTCTTTACACCCCGCTTCTCTGTATCCCTTTCTGTTAATCATCTGTCTTTCATTCTATAATATTTTTTTTTTGAGTTTTTCTCTAAAAAAACTATATCCAGAAAAAGTCAGGTGTTTTCAGAATCGAGATCCAGTTTTCTTAATTTTGTTTAAAAAATTTATTTAAAATTTTGAAAATTTTAATCTTTTCTCATCTTTGAATCAGCCACGAGGGTTCTTTTTTTATCCCTCAAAAGCTTTTTCAATTTTTATTTTAAAAAAAATTTCTGGAACAAAGAGGTTGTCTATTTTAAACCTCTTCCACCCATTTCTTATTTTTTTCTCATTTTATCTTAATTTTTTAGTTAACCCAGATTAATTTTATCTAAGATCTGTGTTTTTTTATTTAATTTTTTGTTGTTGATAAACTAGTTTATGGCAGGTAGAATGGATTTCTTCAACAATTCACAAGATCCATTCAATGGTGATTTAATGGAAGTACTTGAACCTTTTATGAAGAGTTCTTCCACTACTACACCTTCCTCATCTTTTTCTACATCAACACCCTCTTCTCTAAATTCACACCTCCCTTCAACTTCATCTCCATTTTACTCTTTTACCCCTACCTATTTCCAACCCTCTTTTTCTTCACCTTCTTTTCCTCCTCCACAGCCCAATTTCTACACAGAAAAGGGTTATTGTTCATCCATGATGAATTATCAATTTCCCTCGGGTAATTCTTCATCAACCAGCCAAAATTTCATAGGCTTTGAACAACCACAACCAAGTTCTGCAATCGGGCTAAACAACTTAACTCCCTCTCAAATCAATCAGATCCAAACCCAGATCCAGTTTCAGTCTCAACAAATCAATCCAAATTTGAGCTTTCTTGGGCCTAAGCCCGTCCCGATGAAACAGCCTGGTGTACCTCCAAAGCCGACGAAGCTTTACAGAGGTGTAAGGCAGAGACATTGGGGAAAATGGGTGGCCGAGATAAGATTGCCCAAGAACAGAACAAGGCTCTGGCTTGGTACTTTTGATACTGCTGAAGAAGCTGCTTTGGCTTATGATAGAGCTGCTTATAGATTAAGAGGTGATTTCGCTAGGCTTAATTTCCCAAACATGAAGGACCAACAAGGTTTGTTTGGTGAATTTAAGACTTTGCATTCGTCTATTGATGCTAAACTTGATGCTATTTGTGAGAGTTTAGGCAGTGATGAAGCGAAGAAATCAGAGAAAGTGGAGAAAAAAGTGAAACTATCTAAGAAGTGTGTGAAAAAAGAGGCTCAGGTTCAAGTTCAAGTTCAACCGATTGTTGTTGAGAATGATGATAATAACAACAACAAGAAGGTTGTTGTTGAAAGCTCTTTGTGTTGTTCAAGTGAAGGTTCTGATGATTCTTCTCCTCTTTCTGATCTTACTTTTGGTGATTCTGGTGAGCCACAGTGGGGAAATTTTAATCTGCAGAAGTTTCCTTCTTATGAGATTGATTGGGATTCTCTTTGAAAGATAAGATGATAGGGTTTTAGTGGTGGTGGCTACTGCAATTTGAGTATTTGAAAATTGTAGTGGTGCGTCTTTTTCTATGTTAGGTTTGCAATTTGAGTATTGGGTGAAATATGCTGTAAATTTATTTCTACCTTGGTCTGCTGGCTTTTTTACTTGCATGGCTAAGGAGAGTGACTTCGGCTTAGGTTTTATATATGTTTTGATGTTGGTCATATAGTATGTTACATTATTCATGTAATTCGATTCTATTATTAATATGAGAATATATTTATGTACCAGTACTTCGTTACTTATTTCTTGCTGGACTTAAAAATACAATATTTGTACCGATCAAAATCGGTGCGACCTAACCTGAATCAGTCGAAATTGTTGCGACCTAATCGCAACCACTTGTAAATTACTTCTTTAAAGATGGAGGGCAAGTTGTATCTATTAGATATATCTAATATTTTATAGGCTACAATCAATTGTGGTTTAATTTGTAAAAAATGGGTTAATCGTGATTCTGATGGGGTGCATATATAAGCCTTTTAATTAATTAAGTGATCAATTTTTAACTAATGGTCGAGTATCTGAAACCTGATTGGTGTGGGTAAAAGTGTGAGCTTTAACCTTGGGCCCATAATGGGTAGGGACTAGGGTTATATATATTATATGGCTATGTCTCCTCTGTAATATCAGAAACATAACTGACGGCTCCATAACTTGCTCCATTGAAAGTTGTGAACGGGAGTGTGAGATACAGAGGAAGATCCGGTCATTCATCCATTCGAAATTCCGAATCATAACTTCAACAAGTAAGTATTGATGTTTTAAGAAAATTGAGATTTCTTAAAGGGACTAATAATCAAATTGGAGTGCTATGTGAGTCTTACAATGTTGTCCTTATAAGGCACCTATTCGATGCTTATAAATTACTCAAACCTCGACTCACAAGCAATGCATGGTTTATGATAACTCTTAGGTCATAACTCTTAGGCCTCCTTCTAGCACCATTTACAAGCAATGCATGAAATATGATAACTTTTATGCCTCCTAGCACCATTTACTAGCAATGTATAAACTATGATAACTCTTAGGCCTCCTTCTAGCACCATTTACAAGTAAAGAATAAACTATGTATGGTAACTCTTAGCCTCTTCTAGCACCATCACCAACCAATTTATGAACTAGACATCTCTTGAGCCACTTTCTAACCATTTCTTTTGAGGTATTATCTATTTTGAATTTTATATAGATTCTTATGATATTGTTTTTAAAAGATGTTTATGTGAGTTGAGATAGACAAATATTTATAAATCATTTTAAATATTTTTTAAAATTATAATTTATAAAATATTAACAATTTGCGCATATTAATACATAAATATAAATAAATATTTATAAATCATTTTTAATAGTTTTTAAAATTATAATTAAAAAATATTAACAATTTATTTGTATTAATAAATACTGTTGTTAGACATTAAATCATGAAATAATTTACATTTATTTAACTCAACTAATAAGTATGAGTTGAACTCCTCTTCTCATCCATACTATCCATACTATTTTTAATATTGATTCTTAAATAATATTCTCTCCATCTCGAATTATAAAATGTTTTGAACTAAGAAAGATAAATTATATATGAGTTTACAGTAATACTCCTCATAATTACACATGAAAGAAAAATTAAAAGAGTTAAAAGAATAAATGATAAAAAATACTGAGATATATTTGAGAAACTATCATTAATATTACATTAGGAATGTAAGATAACTTATAATTTGGGACAATTTTTTTAACAAAGTGACTTATAATTTAAGACATAAGAAGTAGTATGATAACACCAAAATATCTTATTTATTTAATATGTAATTTAGCATTGTTTTAAACTTGATGAATAGTATTATTTGAACATCATGTGTTAACAAATAACTAGTGGGATACCCGTGCATATGCACGTGTACTGATGTGTTATGTGTATTTATTTTTAAAAATATTAATAATGACAAAATAGAAAGACAAAATTATTTTCATATAAATATATATATATATATATATATATATATATATATATATATATATATATATATATATATATATATATATATATATATATATATATATATATATATATATATATATATATATATATATATATATATATATATATATATATATATATATATATATATATATATATATATATATATATATATATATATATATATATATATATATATATATATATATATATATATATATATATTGATATTTGGATCAACCCTATATTTTTCCGTGTATAAATATTATTTTTGTTTTGACATTTTTTTATAAAAATATTTATGCAATCATCTACTTTTATAAATATCAATTAATAACATAATAGTGTAAATATTTATTTATTTGTATAAATAAATATTAGTAACATAAATAAATACATTTTCTCCGTGTTTGAATTCATACATGATTTTAAATATATTTACGTTTATTTTTTTTAATTATACAAAAATTATAATAACCCGTGCATTCGCACAAATTCTGGTTTGGATACCCATGAGTTTACATGAGTACTAGTATGTTACGCGCATTTATTTTTAAAATATAATAAGAACGAAAAATAGAAACAAAAAATTATTTAACCACGAAAGTTTATTATTTTTAAAAGAAAAACATTTTTTTATTTTTATTTAAAACATAAATATAATTTTTTCATATATACAAATATTTGGATCAATAGTATATTTTTCCGTGTGTAAAGATTAATTGTGCTTTGCCATTTTTTTTATAAAAATATTTATACAATCATTTCATTTTATAAATATCAATTAATAATCCAGTATTTATAAATATTATTTTAATTGTATAAATAAATATCAATAACATTAATAAATATATTTTATCTGTGTTTGAATTCATACATTATTTTAGATATTTTTATTTTTATTTGAATTCATATTAGCAAATGTAAATAAATTGATAACCAAACCAACGTCATACATTAATTCATTATTTGATAAGAATATTTATTAATAGAAAATTTATGAAATAATAAATTATTAAGACTAAAAGAATAAGAGGTTGAGGTGTTTCATTTTTAATGTATTATGTTCAATCATAAATTGCAAGTGTTTTTGACAATATTAAGCCTATCGTCGGCTCTCTCTATTTGTTTTAAAATATATATTTAGAAAGAATTTTTCCTATGCGGTACGTGTAGCAATAAGATTTCAGGATATTATGCTATGTTATCTATCTCATCTTTTCACCCTCTCCCTGTAGCTCTCTCTCCATAATTAATATCACTCAAACCTTCTGAGATGAATCTTGGAGCTCACCAAATATAGAACAAATCTCATGTTCAAAGATAATCTATCTGTAAGATTTTTCATATTACAGCAGAATTGGAGCTATTGTTCTTATGAAATATGAGTTTTTTTTGTTTAATCATTGTTATCTAGCACTAGTGTTAAAAACATTAATTATGGGTGATAGTTACATGCTTTGAATCTCTTCTCCCTATGGAGTCAGGACCGTACTCCATCCTTATCCTCTAGCTCACATCTCCCACGGTTGTAACCTTCATTTTTTTGGGCATTTGTGCATAGTGCCAAATGGTTAGCCAATAGCAACACTCAAAACATCTACCCTTTCCTTGAAGCTCAATATTATCCTCAATGTGGGAATGGGGATTCCTCCTGCATTAAAATTTTTGTAGGTCACCACTACAAGAAAAAAGGAGATTTACGACACTTGAGTTGCGACAGTTATCATAAAACCGTCCTTATTCCTGGATTGCGACGGTTGTCACGACAGTTAGGGTCAACTGTCGTAGATTTTTTTACGACAGTTATCAAAAAACCGTCCTTATTCCTGGACTACGACAGTTCTTACGACGGTTTGAGCCAACCGTCGCAGATTTTTTAGACATGTTATATAAAATAATGCGACAGTTACCAAAGAACCACCCTCTTTCCACACTCGCGACAATTAAGGCGAACTGTCGCAATTGCTTTAGCCAATCATAATCACTATTTTTTCATTCCTTTTATTTTCCACTTTTTTCTTTCATTTTTATTTTCTAACCTTTTTAATTTTATTAATTAATTTAATAAATAATTATTATAATTAATATAATTTTCATGACAATGTAGATTAATAATAATTATTATAATTAATTTAATAAATAATTATTTTCTGTTTTATTATACAAATAGTTAACTTTTATTAAAATTAATTTTGGTAACAATTTTATCCTAGTGTCTACATCCGATCCAATTTCCGAAGACAAAATTGGATCAAGAACGGGAACATGGAAATCTTATAGACAAGCAATCGATCCTAGGCTAAAAGACATCACAAGCTATCATTAGGCAATGCATCAAGATTAAGGTAGTAATAAATAGATAAATTTACAAAATTCAACCGAGAAGATAACAACTAATTTGATTAAAAAACCTGATCAATTCTAAATGAAGACCAACGAAAAAATAATCAACGTTAACTCAAGAAATTAATCACAAATTTAATCTAACAGTTAATCCTAGATTTAGATGAAGGATTCATCCTACATTCAAATCACTATCATGAATATAATTAAAAATTAACCATAACTTTTAATTGAAAACAAATCACCAATTGTCAATCGATAATTAATCATAGATTATCAATCAATTATTCGCAAATTGTGGATCAATGAACCACCAATTATTAAAAAATAAAAAAACTTAAAAACAAACAATCCAACAATAAAAAGGTGTAAAAAAAAGAAGGTGGTGTTTTTTTACAAAAGCCTCCAAGCCTCTCCTTTCTCTCTCTCCTGTGAAAGTAACCATTCCTCCCCATTCCCTCTGTCGTGCATAAATTGAAGGTTAAATATCCATTCTCCCTTTCACGCTCCAGCTTCCTCTCAATTCAATCACCATGCTCTCACTCTCTCGTCACGATTCGTATACGACTCGTCTTTCTTCCGTATTTGCGTTTCGAAAACTCACCGGGATAACATTTCAACA